TTTTTCAAAGTCCCCCCTTTTCCCCCCTACCTACGCGGTACCAAAAACCCCCCCCCCCCCCCTAAAGTTATACGTACTATACATGAATATGGATAACCCTAATGGGACTGCTTCATTCTTTAGAGGAAAAACAAGGGAGAGCGTAAGGAGAACAGATGAGTATAATAATAATAAGTTTCAACTTCTATCTATTGTAAGTTTTCTCATTCTAATTTTTTTTTTCAACATAAACATCATACAACTTCGAGAATTACATAATTAAATTATTAATTAAATTACACAATGGAGCAAAGCACAAACAAATTCTATGAATTAAAATAATGAAGGAGTGACTTTCATGAAAAAAAAATAATTTCCCAGTAATAAGAGGTGAGTATCACTAATAAAAATCATGTGGGAAAAAAACAAAAACACGCACAGTATACTTTTCACCGAAGTTTGGATAGTCCGTGTGTAGTCCTTCTTTTGTAAATGAAAATTACAAATAAACTAAGGGCACACAACTGCAATCAAAAGTAAAATGGCGACCATAGCAGTTAGAACGCGAAAAAGTAGAAAATGTAATCAAAACGTATTTAAATAGTGTTTTATTATACATGTTAATCTTTGAATGCATCGTTATTTTAATCTGATATTATGCTTATTTCTGTAATGGCAGATGGAATATTATCAGTGTTTAAATTACTATATTTAATAAATGTTCTGGTAACCTCATTCATCTTTCATTTTCATTCAATCAGTGACCGAGATAATATTAACTGAGTAAATCAGTCAGACTATTCAGACCTGTTTACTCTTACGATTTTGGCGTACAATGTATGAGTTTGTGGTGTATACCGTATTTTCTGGCATATAAGATTACTGGGCGTAAAAGACAACCCCCTTACTTTTCCTGTTAAAATCTTGGGTTTGGGCTGTATACTAGCTCATAAGACTAGATTTAGATACTTCGATGAAACAAGGGAGACTACTATTTTTCTGCCGACACGTTCGCTGTTTTGTTGCGTTTATTTTTTCAGGTTTAACCCTACTCTGTCTTACTAATTTTATTTCAAAAATTAAAAACTCGGATTCTTCTGCGCTGACTTCCATTTCCCATACAAATTTTGAAGTTGTCCCCCTTGCTTAACCAAAGTGCCTGTGATAAGTCAAAGTTTGTCAGACTCAAAGATTTTTTTAATTAGGGGCCTACAGTTATAATTAATCAGGTCAAATTAATTGGTATTATTACAAAAATTTAGACTCTGTAGTGAAGGTGAAGGAAAAGTGTCACAATCTTTATTTAACACCAAGTAAACACTTGCCCTATGCCTATAGTCACTGTAGTTAGTTTTAGCCTATTGGCATGGGAACTATGTGTTGTTTTTTTTTAAAAATATTTATAAAAGGGAGGGGACATTCGTCATTTGTCTTGGAATGAAAAGTAGTCAAGACTCAAATCAGAATGTATTTATAACTATTTTCATTCAATAGAACAGTTTTGTTTTGAAGATCTCTCCAGACAATTTAATTGAGTTAGTTCATTTAGTCTATTTTTAGTAAGAAATGTAAATGTAAAGCTTAAAAAGTGTCACATTGAGGGGTACTTTAAATAAAATTTATTAATTTTATTTAGCCTTGGGCCTAGTTTAATTTTAGACATTACACAAGTTAACATTGATTGGATTATAATTTATATTCATGCATTTTTACAGACTATTGTAAATTATGATGTAGGTGTTTATCTGTCTGTTCATTTTTTTTTTATAGGGTTTGTTATTTAATGGGGAAATCAATTAATAGCACATCCAATTAGTTTGGCCAATCTCATTTAATGGCAAATAGATATTAAAATAAAACATCTGGGCATTCATTCAGTTTGGCCAATCTCTCAATGGCTGTTCGGTACTTCTGCAGACTTGTGTACTCTGATAATTTTGGCATACAATGTACGATTTTGAGGTGTAAACATTTTTATAATGTATGTTTATTTTTTGCTATAACTATAAGGTATTGAACGATTTTGTGATTATATTGTACGATTTTAAGAGTTTGAGGGTACCCACAGGTCTGCTTCTGTGTTAATCTGAGTCAGCAAAGTGGGCTTGGCCTAGGCCAAAACCAAATATTTTTACTAACAAATTATTACTGATATATATATGCTGAAATACATTGTTAGCAGCCATGTTTTATGAAAACCTTGTCTAAAAATGACATTTTCCTTTCTTAGATAGCCCCAGTTGATATTTTCAACCTTAAAGGTATTTTAAAACGACAGATTTTTTAAAAATATTGGCATTGTCAGTGCAAGTTACGCAAATTAATGATTTTGTTTTACAATTTCAGCTGATGGCATTGCTTATAGTGAACTTTCGCTGCGACAAAATGCGTCTATTCTCGAATATTGCAGGACATCAATATCAGCCTTATCAGGGGCCACAGCAGGAATCATGGGATTGACGAGTCTCTGGGGATTTATATTTTATTTTATCACAGCTGCAATGCTATCGGTAAGAAATAGTCTGGCTTGATTCCCCCCCTATATATATCAATAGTGAATTGTTAATGGCTTCGTTATTAAAGTAGAGCCTATTATTTTACTACTAAGTGAATTGTTTTCACATAATAATACTGAAATTTGATTAAACCTGATATTTATTACACACTTTTTTTTGTGTGAAGATTACAACCTTATTCGAAGCATCTTATATTTCAAAGGTGTTCTTACTTATGAAGGCTGGATCTAAATGGAATACGTTCTTCATGACAAGAAGAACTTTGTTCAGCAACGGTCTTTTGGGTGGTCTTTTTGTATCCTTTACTTTCTGAATTGGTCAAAATTATAACTAGTGCACATATACACCTGACTCCATCTCCGGCTTGGAATTCAGAGTTTTTCTGCTCTTAGATGATTTGCCATCCAAGGTTAATGAGTCCCATCCACCTGGGATACCAGTGGTGTTTTTGCTTGTCTGGACTTTAGCTGGGGATTGCACTTTATTCCAGAAGCTTGGGATCGACTCAGTTTAGAGCATCTTAGGATTGAATAGCAACCTTTGTGTCACCACACAACTGTGTAGTTTTTTTTTGTTCCCTTAAATATGTTTTTCAGTTGTGGGCTATTTCACAATTGGGAAATTCACAAAATAGGCAGGGTTCACACGGTCTTTGAAGGTCTTTGGAGGTTTGGGGAAAAATAAAATAAAATTTCCAGAGCCCAGAAAGTTTGGGAAAATTGTACAAAAATGTCACGATCTTTGAAAGTTTATGAAAAATGATTTTAAAAAATTTCGAAAGTAAAAGAAAGAAGAAATTTTTTTCCCCATTTCACTGACTGGGCAGTGCTTTTTTTTTAATGATCCGGTGAACCGAGCTAGAAAGAAATTTGTTCATTGGTCGGTAGATTTCGTTAAGCCAATCAAATTAATCTTAAGGAGTGCTATCACGTATTAACAGCGCACGCTTGGTTCGCGGCATAAATACATTGGCATGGTTATAATTTTCTATTTGGATTAGCGACACACGTATGTTTTCTATTGAAATCCTTCAAATCTGTTGAACAGTTTACAATACCGGTACTTATTATGCCTGGAGTTTGTTCTTTCAATGATATATGGCTCGACAAGTCAGAATACAAGTTTTATGCTTAAAAAAGTCACGAATGACAAGAGGAAAGCCTATTTCAATGTTTGTAAAAAAAAAAAAAATTTGATATCTTGTCGATGGGGGACGGAGCACTCAAAAGCCATGCAAAGGGTAAGCTACTGTATTTAAATTAAATCTATTTATAATTCACTTCGCAAAGTAAAAATTGGATATATTAAAATTAAAATCTCTTTTTTTGGGTTTCTTTTCTATAATTATTATGTTACTGATTTGGCTACTACTACTACAAATTATATATCTGACTTAATTTTTAAAAAAGGCTCTCCTAAGCAGCTCTACCAGTTAATTTCGATATTAGATTAATTGCGATTAAGAATATTATTATATCAGGATACTGACTCTTTTTTCCAGTTTCTTGTCTATAATTATATTACAAGCTACTAATTTGGCTCCTCCCAATTACTTTTATCCAGACTAAAACTAAAGATAATTTTAAAATAAGATTAATTGCAGATAACCTTAACTTTTATAATAATATTTTTATATCTGATTAAGCCTAACTATAATATTATTATAATATTTTGATTTTTATTTGTTTAGGAAAAAAGCACACTCAAAATGAAAAGGCTGCTATGTCTATTACGCCTATTACTGGATCTTTAAATACAACTAATAATGCTGACCCGGTACGGTAACATCATCATCAAGGGCTTGTCATGAACAGGGATCAACAGCCAAACCTGTCAATATTCAGTCTTTCTGCACTACGACAGAAGTGCTTACCACTGAAGTGATTTGGACGATGAAATGTCTAAATAGCCACTACAGCTTCAATTCTTGCAGAGGCACTGCTGATTGTTTCAAGGCCATGTTTCCTGCTTGTGATATAGCTCAACAGTTTGCATGTGCTGAGAGGACGTCTGCATAGCTCAGCATTTTTGGCATAGCACCCTACTTTGCTGACTTGCTTTAAAAAGAAAATAAGAGCAGCTTCTACTTATGTTCTTATGTTTGATGTAAAAATGAAAAAACTGATGCGGGAAAAGCAAATGGATGTTCGCATCTGGGATGCAAATAAAGTTACTTCCTTTTTCCACTCATCACATTTTCTTGGACATGCCACTGCTGAAAACCTCTTGGAAAAATCAGTCCAATTATCACAGACCTTGGACACGGGGGATTTTTTACCACTGTCTATGAATGGCCCTGCAGTGAACTGAAACTTTTTCAGATGTTAGAAAAAGAAACTGAAAGATCCGGCCCATGCAAGCTGTTAAACACAGGGAGTTGTGGGCTACATATTTTACATAATGCTTTCCGCAATGGATGCCTTGTAGCCACCTGGGATATAGAAAGTGTACTTCTCTGTATATATTACCTATTTCATGATAGTCCTGCTAGGAGAGAAGATTCCAAGACCATTACTGATACTACTATATTTCCACTAAAGTATTGCAAGCACAGGTAATATTTAAAAACTTTTGATTCATAAAGCTGTTGTGATAAGTTCCATTTTATTTCATTAATATAGGAAACAGATTTTTTTAAACTGGTACCTATTTCTTAGGTTAAGGGGGTCAGAATTAAAATTAATAGAATACTGTAAAACAGAATTTCTTTTATCTTTAATTTTGACATTCTAAAAAATTTTTTATTAATTGTAGGTGGCTTGAAAATATTGAGCCAGCGGAAAGAGCCACCCTGCTGCTTCCTAATCTGGAAATATATATAAAGGCTGTTAAAAGCAAAACCCTTCCCGAGCCCTCTTGCAAATCTTTTAAGGATGCCTGCTGTGCCTTAGCAGATCCTCTCTTAAAGGCAAAGCTGCACTTTATCATAGTGCTCGAGAATTACAACCATTCCTTAAATTGTACCAGACAACCCTATGCTGCCCTTTTTGGCAACAAACCTGGGAAGCTTGATTCAGTCTCTATTGGCAAGGTTTATCAAACCAGAGATAATGTCTGCTGCCAAATCTGTCACAGCTATTTCCAGCTTAGATTTTTTGGAAAAAAATAATCAAGTTGATAACAACAAGATAAATGTAGGATTTTCCACCACCAAGATTTTGCTCCACAAAGACCTGTCAGACTGACAAAAGTTCAGTTTTTTTTAGCAGAATAGCCACTTTGAAGAAAATTATGGAAAAATGTCATATCATTTATCCACTCGTAAGAAATATGTCCTGGCTGGACCCAAGGCTCATGGTGTCTGAAACAGACAAGCTCAATGGAAAAGCTAAATTAACCAGAGTCCTCAGGGTGATGTGCAAAGCAAAACAAGTTGAGGAAAGTCAGTGTGACACCATCTTAGCTCAGTACGAAAAATACGTATTGTCCATGATCGCAGCAAATTCATTGAAGCACAGAAATTTCTCCCCATCTAAAAGCAGGGTGGGTGAATTTTTTTACCTCAGCTTTCCACAATAAAAAGGAGTTTTCGGAGCTGTGGGTTATTGTTCAGAAATTCCTTTTGTTATCGCATGGCCAGGCGACTGTAGAAAGGCGGTTCTCTCTAAATAAAGAGGTCACTGTCGAAAATTTACACAGAGAGTCTCTGTGCTCAAAGACTAATCATATATCAAGTTAGAAGAGCTGGGGGACCTCATAAAGTTCCAATAATAAAAGAGTTGTTGAATTTTGCCTCATCTGCTAGGATGAAGTACTCTCTTTACCTGGGAAAGCAGAAAGAGGAAAGATGTATTCTGCTTGAATCAAAAAAAAAAAAAAAAAAAAGACTAAAAAAAAGAAGGGGAAAGGGAAAAAAACAAAAAAAAAAAAAAAAAAAAAAAAATAAAAAAAAAAGGGAAACAAAAAAAAAAAAAAAAAAAATACCGGGGAAAGCAAAAAGAGGAAAAATGTATTCTGCTTGAATCAAAAAAAAAAAAAAAAAAAAGCTTCAGATAGATGAGGTGCAGGAGTTAAAGTCCAAGAAAAAAGCTGTGGAAGCAGATGTTGCAAGTCTGGTTACCTTAGCAAACAGCAAGGCCAAAGACGCTCAAGTTAAAAAAGACTTCTCTTTTATCTGTGCAGCAAATGCATGGCGAGAAAAGGCTTCAGAGAAGGAGAAGGAAGTCCTAAAACTCCAAAAAACTTATTAATGACAAAGGAGGAGACCTACAGTAAAAAATAATGTGAAATATTTTAAATATATATTAGATGATTTGTGTCAATATTAATTGGTCTGTTGGAATACATGAATCGAGTTGAACACATTTTTTTCAAATTTCATGATGCAACTGGACAGTCAGGTCATTTAAAATATTCTGTCTGGGACATTGGCTCATTGGTCTGTGGCTGATTACTGTTTTAACAAATGAACAAAAATTACATTTGAACACTGAACATTTTACATACCGGAACATTTGTGTTATATTTCCTAAAACTAGAGGACATCTCTACGTGGATAAGCTGAATATTGTGTATATTGTATTTGCTTAAGTGTTATGAAGAATTTTTGAAACTGCGCTATCATTAGGTGAGTTTTTTAAATGTTTTTTCTCTGAATTATATAATAATAAATAGGTCTTTGAATTTTTAGAAAAAGGTCTTTGAAGGTTTGGGAAAAGTTTGTGAATTCCGGACCTTAATTTCTGTATGAACCCTGCTTAGATTTACAAGACAAATGCAATTCTATAACTATATACCCAGCATTATAAGGGAACATATTTGGCCTTAGCTTGTACTTTTAGTTTACTAGTGCCTTTTTTTGTCATTTTCAAATTTTCTTAATATTGTTCGCCTCCTTAACCCAGTCTCTAGACCTATGTATTATTCTGGACGTAAGTATATGATCACTTTTTTTAAAAAGAATAGAACTTACAATAGGTTAAAAAATATGTTATTGCCAGTACCACCACCCTCTTTCCTCAATCTTTATGTTGTTATTAAGAAGTAGTAGTTGTAGTCTTTATCAGAAGGTAACTCATTGTTGAAAAAAAGGCCAATTTTAATATTGTTGAATATTGAACTGAAAATTGTTTATGTCTAGTTAATGCAACCACTAAAAAAATTGTCATATTGGATTTGACAAAATTAACAGCATTGTTTGAAAACTGCTGTTATGAAATAACACAGAAAGAAGCTGAACTGAACTCCATCTCTGTCTCTATATGAATACTATTTTATTTTCATTGATCTTTTTTTTCTCTCAATTTCAGATTTTTATATGGAATGGTTCATGTTTATTGAGGAAGAAAATTTACTTTCAGTGAGAGCTTCACA